TTTTAGCAGCAAGTGTATCTGGGAGAGGGTAATACAAATATTCAAAGAAAAACATGTCATCTTCTAATCGTCAAAGAATATATATTACCAGCATAATCACAAAAAAATGCTTAAAACATGAGTATTTCTAAATTTAAAAAAATTTAACCTGAATAAAAGAGCAGTTGTTAGGAATTGGGTGGGAAAAGCAGGGAAGCAGCAGAAGCATTATCCTTGGGAGCTCACTAGGATAGCAAGCTGAAAGCCAAAATAACAGGCTGAGGTATGTAGCATCTCGGTCAGGTCAAGTTTGTAAAATATGGAGGCAGTGGCTTGTACGTCTTCCATATGTTCCAAACAGTTCAGGGGTGACAGGCAAAGTCAACTATCCCAGGTTGTCACCGATTCCAGTTTTGGCATGAAAGAAGCATCACAACAAAATTAGTCAAGTAGTGCTCCCTAACTTTCTCTAGTTAAGGCTTCTCAAGAAGTCTGAAGCCCTGGCCCAGAATTCTCAACAAATGGCCCACACCCAGACCCCTCAAGAAGTCTCCACCACCTCTTAATTCAAGTGTCTGAAGACCAAACTGGAGTGATGGAGGAATGTAGAGAAATCTATAAGAGGTAATGAAGAAGGAACTAAAGCAGCTGGTCTATGTATAATCCAAAGATGGTGAACGCTTGGAAACCTCATCGTCTGTGACTGGGGCAGTGGCTTGGAAAGTGATTTTAAAAGGCTGGACTCCTGGGAAAAGCCAACACCATATCATGCTGGTAAAGCACACAAAACTACCTAAAAGGTATTCTTGCCAAAGAAGTTGAAGATGAATCTAAGTCTCTGATATACTAACTTCTATTTACAGAAATACAGAGAGAGGAACAAGCTTAAGACACCACAGGAAGCAGACAGATTTAGAATGGGGGACATCACACAGGACAATGGCACAGTTTCTGCCAGTATTATTTGCATAACCACACAAAGCTTTAACAGAGAAAAGGGTGATAGAATGATGGTCACCAGGGCTGGGGAAAGGGAGAAATATGAAGTTACTACTAAATGGGTATAGAGTTTTGGTTTTGCAAGATGATAAAGTCCTGGGGATCTGTTGAACAATAATGTGACTGTAATTAATACTACTGAACTGCACAACTTAAAAATGTTTGAGATGGCAAATATTATGTTATGTGGGGCTTTTTACCACAATGTAAATAAACAGTTTTAAAAGTAAGTGCCTTCAAATTAAAAATTAAACCAGAATATAAGAGTACTAAAACTGTTAGATATATTAGGAATTGGGTGGGGAGAGGAGGGAGGTATATCTCTACATTATCCTTGGGGTCACACAAGGCATTAAAAAAAGTAAGAGGAGGGTTAGCCTGGTGATGGGTGTTGAGGGGGGCACGTTCTGCGTGGAGCACTGGGTGTTATGCACAAACAATGAATCATGGAACACTACATCAAAAACTAATGATGTGATGTATGGTGATTAACATAACAATAAAAAATTATTCAAAAAAAAAAGTAAGAGGAGACTGCTTTAGATTAAGACTCAAGAGATCAGACAACCAAATGCAATGTGTAGACCATGTTTGAATCTAGATTCAAATGAGCTAACTGTAAAAAGACATCTTAGCAGTTATCAGGGAAATCTGATTATGGCCCGGGGAAAACCCTTTGTTTAAGGTGATTTAAAATTTTCCTTCTAAAGTAGATGTATTAAGGCGTGCCTGGGTGGCTCAGGCGGTTAAGCCTCTGCCTTCAGCTCAGGTCATGATCCCAGGGTCCTGGGATGGAGCCCCACGTCGGGCTTCTTGCTTGGCAGAGAGCCTGCTTCTTCCTTTCCCTTTGCCTCTTCCCCTGGCTCATGCTCTCTCTCAAATAAATAAAATCTTTTAAAAAATAAAGATGTATTAAAATTTAAAAAACAGAGAGAAGACAATTGAAAAAATGTATTAAGTGAATCACAATGTAGATTTAGCAAAAATGGCGAGGGGAGAAATGAAATGACTGAGATTGACAGGTGCCTGAGTAAACTGATGGCCCTGGGGAAAGTAGCTGATTTCACAAGATGGGAGGTAGAATCCATCAAAAAGTCATACAGGGTATTCCTGGAGGGGAAGGGAGAGAAATTACGGAGGGTGTAGCAAGTTAAAAGTGTTCAGAAAAGGTTGGCAGCTTGTTAAGGCAGCCCAGGAGCCAACCTGAAAGGGTTCCCAATGGCCAAAACTGGAAGAATGTGAACAACAAAATAAATAGTATTTAATTACAGCCCATAGAATAAAATAAATATCCATGAATTCATACTGATATAAATAAATTACTGAATAAATAAATAGGGTGGGTAACTTCCTCACAGGAGAAATCTAATTACTAAATGTAGAAAGAATGAGGGAAATAGAAATTCGCCATTACAATACCACAGAGTCACGATGGCTGTAGGCAAGATCTATTTGCAAGATGCTAAAATTTAGTGGGTGAAAGTTTGAGGATAAATTGGATAGATGGTCCCCAACTTATGATGGTTCAACTTATGATATTTTGACTTTACAATGACTTTACAAAAGCAAATGCATTCAGTAGAAACTGTACTTCAAATTTTGAATTTTTATCTTTTCCCCAGCTAATGATATATGGTACAAGACTCTCTCATAATACTGGGAAGTGGCAGTGAGTGGTAGCGAGCCCCAGCTCCCTGTTAGCCTTGCAATCACAAGATAAACAACCAATACACTTAGAACCCTTATGTACCCATACAGTCATTCTGTTTTTCACTTTCAGTACAGTATTCAATAAATTACATGAGATATTCAACACAATTATAAAACAGGCTTTGTATTAGATAATTTTGCCCAACTGTAGGCAAGTGTAAGTATTCTGAGCACTTTTAAGGTAGAATATGCTAAGCTCTGATGTTCAGTAGGTGAGGCATATTAAGGCACTTTCAGCTTACAGTATTTTCAATTTACGATAGGTTTATCAGGACAAAACCTCATCGTAAGTCAAGGAAGACCTGTACTTGCATAGTCTCAAAATTTCTCCTGTAAGATATTTATTAATTACAAAGAGAAATAAATAGTAACTTTAAAGAACAACCCAGTGGACAGCACTTTAAATCAAGGCATCAAGACTAATCAATATCAAGGGCGCCTGGGTGGCTCAGTTGGTTAAGCGACTGCCTTCGGCTCAGGTCATGATCCTGGAGTCCCGGGATCGAGTCCCACATCGGGCTC